AAATACTTATATAATATTTTTAAAGACCTGAGAAATGAAAAATCATAATACATGCAGTGACCAGCCAAATTTGTGTATGGATTTTTTTAAAAGGGCACCTTGCCAACTTCTATAACATTCAAAATTCCTAAAGGTTTGATGTAGAAATTGTGCTTTTCAGGATCTATTCTTTATAACACTTATAAAATGTACAAACAAGCAGGTAAAAATTTTTATTATGTTTTTCCTCATAATTCAGAATAAAATGAGGTTAAAAGAAAAATATTAGCTATTCAGATTACCAGATATAAGCATGCAAAATTGGTTTTAAAAAAGAAAAATAATTACAAGAAATTTAAAAAGAATTTAAACATCAACTGATGTTTGGGGGGGGGGGTTTGCTGTTTTTTGTTTTGAGGGATATTATTTTTAAGAGATAGTCCTGCTCTGATGCACTGACTGGTACATTTGCATGCGTGGCTTGAGGTAATCCTCATACTTCAGTCTCACAAATAACTGGAGCTATAAGCCCACACCATCATATCAGCTTGTCTGGCATCTAGAGCACCTATGCAGAATCCCAAAACACAGGCTGTTGATCATAGTAAAGAACAATCCAAACCCTTCCAGAGCATTCTTTCTAGGTCCACTGCCCATCCACACTGCATTCTCGTGCATGCCAAGGAAAAACTATTAGAAATTCTATGTGTGATTTATAGAAATATCAACATTTTCACTTTACTTCAAGGCCCTTTTCTTTCCCACACCTGGGAAAACTCACATAAAGGAATAAGTTAAACTAATCAAAAAGTTGAGTTGTTTCATTGACTTCTATTTACTCTATCAAAAATTCTTTTTAAACTACATATCATAAATGAGCACTGGGTCTTGCCATCCTTGACCTTTCCATTGCTTTCATGGGTTTGAGACATTTAACTTTTATTTGAAAAGGTATGACTGATCCAAAGGGAACTAAAGCAGAAAACAGACACTTTCCTCCTTCAGAAACAATATCTAACCTTTAATTCAGACCTCTGCTCTGAAAGATTTAAAAGAGCATACTCACCTGCAGCTGGGATATAGTTAAAGGGTATCTGAATAATATCCAGGTAACGCCTTCGCTGCACGGGGGGATAGTAAGTGAGCCTTCGTAGACCCAGTAGTCTCGCAGCAGAGGGTCTGGGCAGCCACAGCACCATGTCATGGAAAGGCAAACTCATTAGCAGTGATCTGGGAAACCCTAACAATTTTCAAAATTACAAACTGTCCAAATGACAGTTCTCAGACAGATAACATTAAGTTTGAGTTTCTTTGAAGTGTTCTCAAACTAATTATCAAGGAAAAAATACGTAAAACATGTTAAATCTTCTATCTACTTGTGTTATCAGTGGGTTGATATGCACATCTATGAAGTTTAATTAATTTATAAAGAATATATTCATCTTTGTATTTTGTATTTTTATTTTATTAGAGGCTTGACCTCACTAATTATTGCCTAATATTTATTGAACTACTTGCCAGGTACTATTTTGAGCATTACATCTTAATTCATTTAATCTTCACAACAAATGTGATGGATACTATTATTAGCCTCGTTTTATAGATGGGGAAAATAAATCACACAGAAAGTTAGCAACCTGCCTAAGGCCACACAGAGAATAACACAGAGAGGCAGGATTTGGACCTACAGAATTAGGCTTCAAAGCACATACATACACTCAGTTTTGGAGAGGGGGATTTTTTAAGTAACCGTGGCAGGCCCTAAACCTGTGGCAATTCTGTTGCCTTAGTCTCTTGAATGATAGGACTACAAGTCTGTGCCACCACACATGGTCAAAGACTGTATTTTAACCTTTTGGTCATGGCTGCATCTTTTTGTTTCTTCAGCAGCAAAATATTGATATCATAATTGTGATAAGAGAAAATAAATTATCCTTATAAAATCATTTGGCTCTGTGCTAGAGAAATTCATGATTAAATACAATGAATAAATATTTTCACATATGACAAAAATTGAGCAAATAAAGCAATTAAATATAGAAAGGATATTATATATCAGCCTATTTTTTTGTTAGAAGCACTATGAAAATGCACTTAACTTAGACAGAGAAATGTGAAGACAAAAGTGTATAAAACCACCTTGAACTCCAAGGTACAGTGAAATTATTTTATACATAATTATTACTTGTCATAAGCTCATTTAGAATAGTACCTAAACAATAATATTCTAAAAATTCTTACAAAATTGTATATAAAGTTTACTTCACACTAAAAAATTAATTAAAATTTCACTGATGAATTTTAGAGGTGTACCAAGTTTATTTTATTAGGTTGGTACTTTACAAAGAGATAGGAATTTTTATAGATGACTCTCCTAAAAATGGTATTTGTGGGTTCATAGAATTAGTAACAAAATAGTTCTTTATTGCAAATAAAAGGTTCACTGCAGTATTTAAAATAATTTGAAACTGATATTTGTGAGAAAGAATATAAATTATGAAGTAACTTTACTGATTATATATCCTGAGGAAAACAGTATGGTTATAACCACAGTTAAAACTCAATCAGATAAATGCTTACCTGGTAGTAAAGTATTAGGATTAAAGCAGGGTATTGTTTTGGATTTCCCCTGAAACAGAAAAAGACAAAACACTCCTTGCGGATGTAACATTTATAAATGTTTAAACGATTTCTAGCTGCAAATACCCAGACTGAAATCTCGGGAATGGCCTTGCCAAGCACCTTATACTTACAGCTGCATCATTCTGTCTTCTCATTAGAGTAAGACCACTGGGTTCCAACAATCACTACTCTTAAGTATGAATATTTTCTTTACTATTGTAATTCAACTTCCCCTGTAATTTCCAGAGTGGAACTTGTGATTAGTGTTCATCTCTCTTGTACCAACAGTTTTTCTATTTGTAGCACAGTCACAACAGTTTTTCTATTTGTAGCAATGGCTGGTGTAACACACTTGAACTCCACCTCAGGGCAGTCTTAGGACATGCTTTCTTCTCACCAACCTGGATCTCAGCTTTCACTCGTTAGCTTTATAACCCGGCTCCCAATTTGCCATTTTGTGCCATTGGATGCAGTTACTCATCACTCGTATCTACTCTGGGTGCTTTTCTCGTCCAGACATAAAGATTTAAAACTCAGATATAAATGTTCTGTAGAGGATAAAGCCATTCACCTCCCCATGATAAACAGGTTCAACTCAGTGTGGCACCGAAGGTTCACTGTTGGTGGGCTGTATCAATCCTGGATCACATTGCTTTAAATGCTCTTCTTTGGAATATTACCTTATGAATTATGTATACTTGGCCTGTTATTGTTTTTATGTTATTATTATTAAATGTAAATACTTTGGTTTACAAAGTTGCACGGGTTTAGTTTACACAACTTTGCTACAATACATAATCCAGAAAGACTACCTTGGCAGGCCTGGGCTGGCCAAACCAACTTGTTCCAAACACAATCTGTAGTCAAGAACAGTCCTTGGCTCTCAGACGATAACTCTCAAAAGCCCTGGGATATTCTACTCCACAGGTGTGTTTTCTATCTCTGAAGCCTTGAGCTACATTACATTTTCGGTGAACTCCTAATGCTGCATGCCTATCCTTCAGCTATGATGCACCCTTTTGACCAGGCAGATTTATCTAAAACGAGGTTTATGGATACCCACAAATCTGGTTGTGGAGGAGGAGCTGAGGTGTGAGGAGCTGCTTGCATGTATGAACTCTGGCAAAATTTCCACACACCAAAGCTGAAGTGAGCTTACCTGGTTGGTAGCACTTCCTAGGCACGAAGACACAGCACTACTGGGAGAACTGGCCCATCCCCAGGACATCTCGCTTCATCTGGAAGCTTGCTCTAAGTTTCCCCTAAAAACAGTCGATGTGCCTTTCCAGTTTGCTCGCTTGTGATCTGTAACCCTGGCCAGCCATACTCCAGTAGCTTTTGAATCCTGTGGGTGATTCTGGAGAACTGCTGAGCCTGCCACTGGTCTCTGGGCCCACTCACAACAGCTGTCTGTTGTTTTCCTTAAGTAATGACTTACCTTGTACTGAATGTCCTGGAGGATCTCAGTCACAGCTTTCAGGCCCACATGCTCCTTCCCTATCTGAAATATATGAGCAACAGCCACAAACAGAGCATTTTTAACGCTAAGCTTTTACTCAAAATGACACCAGAATGAAAGCTCAGACCACCTGAATGTATTTCCTGGGGAATTAAATGACCTTTCTGGTGATAGCCATGTCAACATCAATAGAGGTAAAGCTGTAACAGTTAACACAATAAAGTGTTAGCTCTGACACCCAAGGATCTATTCTAAAGTAATCTGGCCACTTATAGATATCACTCACTGTATCTTATGTTATGTGCCAAATCATACAACACTGCTATATAAAAATGTCAAGGACTTTTTTTTTTTTTTTTTTTTTTTTTTTTTTTTTAATACACTGCATATTTTTTTTTTTGCGGAACCGGGGATTGAACTCAGGCCCTTGTGCTTGCCAGGGAAGCACTTATTCCACTGAGCCATCTCCCCGGCCCCTAAAGGACATTTTTAAATTAAAACTATTCAATGCATATCCAAAATCTTACAATCTTACCTTTGCCATTATAAATGCTATTTTATTTATAAATACTATTGGATTGAATTTTATTTACTCAGAAAAGTTGATATGTTGATTTCACATGTTAAATTTATCTAGCCAAGATATTTTTTCAGGGGTTCTAGGGAGATAGCTCAGCAGCTTAAGTGCCTACCTGGCAAGCACAGGGTCCTGAGTTCAATACCAAAAGAAAAGATATTTTTCAATTATCACTGATAATAATTCTTTTAAAATAAGTTTATTGTCACATCTTAGATATATATGATGATCACATTCATCATAGGGAATTTGTATATGCACATGATATAACTTGATTTATCCTAATCCCTCTTCCCTTCCATATTTATAAAAACATTCTTTCCATTTTTCTCCTTCTGAGGTCCTGCCCCTTAGCTCAGTTCTTTAAGTGGCTGCTTCAACAAAGCAGTCAGGCTCAGGTTGCTGTGGTTCGATCCCCAGAACTCAAGCCAGCCAAACCTGCCCTGAAGGCATTCAGAGCAAAAATAAAATAATAATAATAATCCTTCTGCCATTTTTCTCCTTCTTTTCTCATTTTGTCTTTTCCCTTCCTTCTTTTTCCTCTCCCCACTTGAACATTCTTTTCTTATTTAACAGTGTCTGTTATACATTTTGGTATCACTGGTAATTTATAACTAACTTTTTATTCTTAAATAAATGAAAATGAGGCACCATAAGAAGTGACAGGAAGGCAACCTAAAGGGAACGCGCTGCTCTAAGAGCAAGTAACCAAAGCCATACAAGACACTGCAGGTTATTCAAGGCCTTCTGTGTCCCAAGTGGAATGGAAAGCCATTAAAGGATTACAGCCAGAAATATATGACATATGATTTACATAGCTTTATATTTTAAAATAGTGTATATTTTTAGACAACATTAATTTTCCAAAGAAACTTGATAGAAGTTTTTTTTTATATTGAGCATTCTTGAATTTTTTTAAATTTCAACTACCATCTGATTCCCACTTTTCAATCAATTCTCAATGACCCATGGCAATAGAGAAGGGTAGAAGCATCTATTACCTAAGATAGCTGCTGTTGCTCTCAGCTTTTTCTCTCCTACATATGAAAGGCTACAGCAGCTGTGAACATGTACACATTCTCTAATTTTCTCAACTTTATCTAACTGAGAAATACACAAGGGAAAAAAAGATAGGCCAATCAGTTCCATGTAACCAAGACTTTTGCTATTTTCTGAATGTTTTCATTCCTGAGATAGGTTTAAAAGCACAAACTTAATATTCTCTCTGAACATATCTTCTCATTACGCAGCTCTCTCCTGCTCTGTTCTTTTTCATTTTTGTTTATTTGTGTGTGTGTGTGTGTGTGTGTGTGTGTGTGTGTGTGTGTGTGTGGCTGGCTCAGCCCACACTGGGGGCAGGGCTGGCATTGCAGGTGCCTTACCACGGTCCCTGCATGGTGGCTGAAGCAGGCGCTTTAGACCGCTGAGCTATCTCACCCGTCCCCCTGTTCTTCTTTAAAAAGAAAGGAAAAGAAAAACTATCAGCAAGAACAAAAGCTCTCAGGCCCCTTTTGGCTTCATCCTCTTACCCCGCCTAACTAGCCTGAAAAATACCATTCCTACCACCTTGGAATCTTCTATCTGCTTGTCCTCCTAATTCATCTACTCTGTGATGGATCAACACAATGATTTGCTAGAATATTCTACATTGCTCCAGAACAATCCACTGATTACTGTGCTAAACAATCTGTGACATCTGGCCTGACTGCTGTGTCTATCATCATCCCTTTCTGGACATTACAAAGATCAACCCCACAACCCCACATCCATCCATATTTTCCTTGTTTTGCAAATGTATGTCTCAGATGCTTAAAGGTCATCTGACATGAACTCCCTTCATTTCCTGCTATTCTCCACTTTGTGTCCACCTTTCCTGCTGGCTTTCTCCTTCAAAGAAAGTACAGCATTCCCCTCTCCAAGTTAGTTCATCTACAAAAGCTCTGTGTCTCATGCCCTCTCATCTTCTCTGGGACTTCTCTATGTTAGCTATCCCTTCTCTTTTCAAGATTTAAACTCTATAAACTCTTATACTAGCTCATCTTGCAAAGATTAAAAACAAAAGATTTCAGATCTCAAAATCACCACTGGATCCTGCCACTTCGGCCATCCCTCCCTTCAGTCAAATTTCTGACAAGATCAGTCCACACCTGGCCCCAGCCTCCTCTGTCCAGTTTCCCCAGGTCAGGCCCAAAGGTAGCCCTTGGAGGTGGACTTCAGCCCCCCTTCTCTCTGCTTCACCTAACACCTTAATGATTTTGTAAAACTTTGTTCTCACAGTTTCTGTAATATATTACTATCCCCTGAGAAAGGCACTTTTACCTAAAAAACTCAAAATTTTCTTCATAGCAAACACAGAGAAAGTGCCTATTGTGACACAGCCTATTCCTGGAAGCACTGATATTAGGCCCAAGGCTGAGTTTGGAGTCCTGGGCTCTAAGTGTCCAGGACACCTGGTACACATGATGGGTCAGTAAGTGGAAACACTAAATTATACCTCATTTGCTTCACAAATATTTATTTTCCATTCCAAAGATGAAATTAACTTGCTCTATTCCCTTCTATACAAGCTATTTCTTTGTTTTTTTATGCTTATTCTTTAATATTGAAATATTGCCTCATACCACCTCAACTTCTCCAATTTGATCATATGTTAACTTTTTCATGTAAGTCATTTTTTAAAATATTCTTCAATAGATTAAAGATGATCAAAATGCACAAGTCAAAACCTCTGCATCAATATTTTGATCCCATTTTATTTAATGCATTTATAATGAAAAGTATATAGGGCCCCATCCATGAAAAAAGACATGAAATAAATAGTGAGAAATTTCATTTTAAAATGTTAAAGATTTCTTTTTAAATTCAGGTGCCATATTTTCTGGACTCTGATTTTAAAATATTAAAGAGGCTAAAAACAGATGGTTACTTTCACATATCAATAAATACCTTATACCTGTAGACAAATAATTAATAACATTGATTAATAATATTCTTAATATAAATGCTACAAAGAGCATATCTAAAAAGGCCCAGTGCCCAACTCTTCTTGGAAAATTACCTAAAGACCACTTGGCCAACACTGCTGTTCTAACCCAAGGTTATTCAACAGAAGCCAGCCACCACACAGAGAGGGTGCTCTGGCTTTCAGTCTTGAGTGCTGCCATTAAATTGCTGTATCTACAAATAACTACTGGACCTCTCTGGTCCTTGCCTTCTCTTATGAGACTACAGGGGGATAAAATTGCCAAGGTATTTTCAATCTCTAAATCTTTTGCCACATCAAATAGATAATAAGACAAAGTTTTAAAGATTCACCCTAAGAACAGGATGAAATTTTTACCTTTGTAAGCATACAGTCTATTTTTGTTTTTTTCAATTAATTTCACACACTATCCTTTGCCCACCACCAAGCTTGAATCTAAATTTCACATTGGTTAAATCTACCAGTCTTTGACAGTCTTTTTTCAATCAGTGTTTTCTATAAGACATTTCCAATCTTGTTTGAATGAAAATAATTAACACAAAAGAGCCATACATGATTGTATTATTGATTTTTTTTCTTAGATTTTGAGTAGGCTGGAGTCCTGAAACATTTTCTGAAATTCTTTTTCATAAATGCAATGAACTCTGCCTTCTGGAGGCATCTTCTACTCATTTCTTCCAAGATCTGAATGCCACTCTGAAGCAAATTTATAAAAAAATAAATAAATGAACCATCTCCTACTAACAAATAAGGCTGAACCTTTATGAACTACAAAGACCAAGTTGTCTGTTTTTAAATTACCTGTGCATGTGTATAATTTCACCTGTAAGTAATAAAATTGAAACAACTAAAAAGTGTTTTTGGTTTTTATGTATTTAGTACAGGGTCTACAGGGTAACACTACACAGCTTGAACGCATAGTGATCTTCCTGTTTTCAGCCTCCCAAGAGCTGGTATTACAGGTGCACATCGCCACTCCCACTGCCTCAGCACGTCCCAGGGGCAGAGTCAGCACAGCATGCCAGGGATTGAACCCAGTCCCTGTGCTTTGCCTAAGTAGGTGCTTTAGTCCACTGAGCTATCTGACCAGCCCTAAAAAGTGTTTTACAAAATGATTTAAAATAAGCATCTATAAACAATTGCACAACCCCAGCAGAGCATTTACCTGTACGAACAAGGCAATGATGGCGATGCCATGAGGCTTTCCCACAGCTTCATCAATGCTGCCAAACAGGGTGGAGTTCCAGTGGATCAGGTGGAGCTGGTAGGAACAACACACACATCGTATGACTTAATGTGCTGCTCTTCTGAGAAACAAAGACATATCACCATCTTCTCTCAGTCTACATGGATCACGTGCATCAGGATTAGAAGCACACATAGACTATGACTTTGATAGATGTTCTCTGTAGGAATTCCTTGCTTATTTCTAAAAGAAAATAATGGAACCTGTCTCCTGAGTTCAGACATGGGGACCTCACCAATTCTGTATTGGTTTAGCTATGTTTCATTAAATGTCACCCTCTCTGGATCTTAATGGGACCATACACAGCCAGGCCTGCCCACAAACATTAGAACTCATTACTAAAGGATACAAAGCCTGTGTAAACAAATTCTGCATCATCCGTTATGTCCATCAGGAAATGTACAAAATGTACCAGGCCAGTCTCAAAGCCTAGCAAATTATTTCAACTCTCTAAGAATAACCATAGATATCATACTATTAAAAGTGCTCCATTTTTAAAGCCTTTGGGAAATAATGAATGCTGATGTGAATCTCTAAAAAAAGGCCATTTCCTCTACTGGAGATAAGTTTATCTGAGAAGGAAAGACAAACAATGCTCAGAGGAGCTCTAACTCCTAGCCTCGTAAAGCTTTACAGCTTTCAGGTTTATCTAGAGTATGCACTCGCTCCCATAGTGCTGATAAATACAAAAGGCTGAACTCAGTTCCCTCATTAAGGATCAAGTGGCTGCTGAGGTTCTTGGTGTGGCAGCAGCTAGTGAAAACGTGCTGCCCACAAGGCCAGCTTCCTGATTACAGCTTTTAGTAAAGTTAAAATTCTCACCACCTTAAAATATTGCCCCACTTTAAAAAATTACTTTATATCCCAACAGAAGAGACAAACATCAATCACTGTGTAGTTTAGGACATATACTAAAATACTTTTTTTAAAATTAATTTTACTGAGAAACAAATAGGAATGAGTCAGTTTCAAAACCGATTAGTAGGACAGTTTCAATAATTAATACATTACATATTGTTGTCTTTGTAGTGGTTATTAATAGTACTTTTTAAATTATTATCCAGACTGCTAAAAATGAGATTTTCCTCCCTGAACCCATCCAAGTAGAAGTTGAGATTATAAAACTGACCACTAGAGGGAGGTCACAAAGTCAAGAATCTCAACCTCAGACAAGAGTGTATCTGAAGACAGGCCATAAAATATTCCTGTGTACTGTATCCAACTAGTAAATTTTAACTGTCAAAACACTGCATTTAAAAAAACAATGTTCTACAATCTCTCAATTAATAATAGCTTCATTGTAAGCATTCCTTCTCTGACCAAAGCAATATCACAGAAGTCCTACTGGTATAGATAAAAATTAGATTTTGTAAATCAACAAAAAAAAGCCAAAGCTCAAGGTTGACTATTTCTATTCAAAAAAATCACAAAATTCAAGTTTACATTTTTTTTTACTTTTTAAAGAAATATTATGAGGCTTTTTTTTCAAACTCAAAGATTAACAAACAAAGCAGTTTTTCCCCACTGCTTGAAATTCTGCATCATTTGCAGCTCCTCTTCAAAAACTGCTTCGCATATTTTTGTGTTTCAAAACACCTGAAGGCCTTGGCTCATCAAGTGTGTGCTCCATATAGACAGATGGGTGACTCAAAGAGCACAGCATGGAAAGGAGGTAGACTTTGTACTAGAGAAACCTGAAACATGTCATGGAGCAAGGTCAGCACCAGCAGCAGAGAGGTGGATAGGACATACCCTCAACATGAGAATACAAAGTCACTCTACCTCTGTGCTCCTCCTAAGAACCTATATATACAATCAAATCTTGAAAAAAAAAAACCTGACAAATCTCAACAAGGGGCATTCTACAAAATACCTGCCCCATGACTCTTCAAACCTAATGAAGTCATCAGGAACAAGGAAAACCAAAAAAAAAAAAAAAAAAAAAAAGTCAGAAGCACTCAAGGAGATAGGGAACTAAGTGCAATATGATGTCATGTATGTGATCTTGAACAGAAAAAGGACATTAGACAAAAAGTAAGGCTATATGAATAAAATACAGATTTAGGAATGTATCAATAGTGGGCCATTAATTGTAATGAATGTACTTCGTTCATTGAAGATGTTAATAGGAACACTTAGGCATGGGATCTATGGGGATTTTCTGTGCTGTCTTCACAATTTTCTGCAATAGTAAAATTGCTTTAATTTTTTTTAAAAAGAAGAAAAGAGAAAAAAAAATATTTTAATGCTGGCACTTCAGCCAACCCAAGCTAAAAAGTATGACAGAAGCCTCATAGGTCTTGCAGCTCCCACATAATAATTCAAAGCCAAAGCATCAAGAGAATGCCTACTTCATGTTGTTCCTGCCATCTGAGATCCTGATGCTCACCAGAGACCCTCTCAGGCAAGGGAAGGGAGATTCCCCTTCACAGACAACAAGTGACCCATAAGGTCAAGATGAAGCTCTAGGGGCTGAGGAGACAGCTCAGCAGTCTGAGCACCTGCCTAGCAAGCAGAAGGACCAGGGTTCAATACCTGTTACAGTGTCAAGCTGGTCACTGAAACCAGGTGGTACACATCCAGAATCCTAACACTAGGGAGGTTGAGACAGGCCGATCACTATGAGTCTGAGCTGTGTAGTTAGACCCTTTGCCAGATAGATAGATAGATAGATAGATAGATAGATAGATAGATAGATAGATAGATAGATAGATTTAAAAATAGATGAAGTTCTACACTGATACTGAAAAACTTTCTTTTGAAAATGCTCAAATGAAAACTTTAGAAAATGGCTAATATGATACCAGGCAAACTTCTAATACATTCTGGAAAGAAGACAACTTTTCAGCTGTCACCTCATAGTAACCCAGGTTCCTGATCCACTGGCCCAAAACAACACTTCAGCTGCTTCTCACCTTTAGCTTGCTCAGCCCCCCAGGACCTTTCCTGTTCCATCTGGATTAACTTCCAAGGACCACCACAATGGTGCATCTCACACAAGTGAATTAGACTACAAGAATTTATTTTCTCACAATTGTGGAGACTGGAAGGCTCAGACCAAGGTGTCAGAAGGCTCAGTGCCATCAGAGGCCTCTTTCCTTAGGTTGCAGATAGCTGTTGTCCTGTATCTTCACCCAGTCTCCCTTTTGTAGGTGTTTTTGTCCTGATCTCCTTCCTCTGGAGGACCCCTGTGTCACTGGCTTAGGCCTGCCAAGATGAGGCCTTCATGTGATCACCTCTGTGAAGATGCTATGTCCCAATAAACATATTCTGATATGATAGGGGTTAGACTTTGTATTAGTTACTCTTCTCTCATTGCTGGGATAAATACCCAACACTAAAAGTGAGGGAAGGCAAGGTTTATTTAGCTCACAGTTACTGGAGGTTTCAAGACACTGGAGGAGAGGCTGGGGTGCTGCCGTGTCCAGGATGACCCTCTCCACATCTCTGAGAAAGCATAGGCTAACCAGTTTAAGGGTTTGCACCTCCCTTGCCGTGCCCCTCAGGCCCTGCCCTGGTCCTCTGGCCCTGCCCTTCAAGCCATTGCTCCTCTAGCCATGTCTGCCCCATAACTTACATGAGGCTTTGGGGGGACAACTAGACATAAACCATAACATTCCATCCCTTGACCCCCAAAGTCTCATACACATCTCTTTGGCATTTTAGTCCATCTCTTTGTTTCCAAAGTCCCAACAATTTCAGCATTGATGAAAAGTCCAAGTCACAAGTCTCCTCCAAGATGCAAGGCAAACTCCCAACTTGTGAGCCCCTATGCAAATGAAAACTTAAATACATCCAACATTCAAAGGCACAAAATAAACATTGCCATTCCAAAAAGTATACACAGTAGACAAACCATTGGCGCCAAAACAAGTCCAAAATCCAGCAGGACAACCATTAAGTCCTGCAGGTCCTTCTGGAACATCCGAAGCAATCTGGCAAATTGTGAGCTCCTGGTGGCTCTGCCCCTATGGCAATCTTGGTGGTAGCTCCCATGGCTTCTCTCACAGGCCAGCTTTGCTCCCTCTTTGCAGTTTACCTTAGATGATCCACATTCCTGGCTTTTCCAAACTTCTGGAGTTTCCACTGAATAGACTTCTCACTCACAGCTTCACACACTGCCCTCTCAGGGGCACACTGCCTGGCCTCCCAGGCCTTCTTCTGAAATCAAGGTGGAAGCCTTCTTAACCTCAGAACTCCTGCATTCTGCATGCACCTAAAACCAACGCCACGTGGATGTGCCAAGATCTGCCGCCAGCTGGAGAGTAGCCAGGCTCTCCTCTCTCTGGATTGTAGGGATGGAGTGCCTGGATCACTGAACACTCTGACCCTGATTCTGAGAAACAGATTCTCTGTGCCAGTGCCATTCTATAATCTTGTACGGCTGCCGCCTCCATTCTGGAACATGGGGCTCTGCAGCTTTCTCCTCACAGCAAAGTCCCTCACCTTTGTGATTCTGAGGCTGAAAAGGGCAAGAACCTCTCACCTCCTGTGATGCCCTCAGGACATCTCTTTTACTCTCTTGTTTCTCCTGAGCAATGGAGATCTCAGTTCTATTTTTGCAGTCCACAGCCTTCCTGGTGCTTTATTTCTAGCCAAACTCACAGGATTTTAAATCATTGTGCTGGGCTCTTTGCTCTTCATTCTCAAGTATATTTGACTAAGAGCCTCCAACAATAATCATGCCACTGCTCCAACATTTGACTGTTTTGAGATTTCCTCTGAAAGATTAATCAGTCCTCCAGGTTTAATTTCTGTCTCAGGCAAAGTCTCTGGATACAGGCAAACTTCAGACAAATTTTCTGCTAAGCCAAAACTCAAATGATCTTGAGTCCAATAACCAATGCTTCCCAGCAGAAACTTCCCCATCCTGCTCTTTACAGATTGGCTTTCTATCAGTCTTCTAGTCTGAGCTCTTATCAGAATCTCCCCTACAGAACAGCCAAAGCTGTTCCAGCGCTTCACTCTTAGGAGACATCTCCAAACCTTTTCTATCTCTTCCCATCAGCCATTCC